TTTGTGTATCAACTATCAACACTCATGGAAGCAGCAGTCAAGAAATCAAATGATGTATTGCATTAGGCAAATCTGCTGCACAAGACTTTTTAAAAGTGTTGAAGAGTAAAAATGTCAGCTGGAGGACTAAGGTGTGCCTAACCCAAGCCATGGTATTTTCAATAACCTCATATGCATGTGAAAACTGGACAGTGAATAAGAAAGACTGTAGAAGAATTGATGCTTTTGAGTTCTGATGTTGGAGGAGAATATTGAAAGTGCCATGGGCTGCCAAAAGAACAACAGATTTGTGTTGGAAGAAGTACAGCCAGAGTGCTCCTTGGCAGTCAGGATGGCCAAACTTCATCTCTCATACTTTGGACATATTGTCAGGAGGGACCAGTAGCTGGAGAAAGATATCAGTAAGGTAGAGGATCAGAGAATATGAGGAAGACCCCCAGTGAGATGGACTGGCAAAGTGACAGCATCAACGGGCTCAGGTGTGGCAACAACTGTGAGGTTGGCCCAGGATCGGGCAGTGTTTCGTTCTGTTGTGCATAAAGTCGCTATGAGTCAGTACCGACTCGATGGCACCTAACAACAACAACAACAACAAATGGTTTAAACTCAGGAAAGGTTGTGCCAGGTTTGTATCCTTTCACCATTATTGACCATTATTCAGTCTGTGTGCTGAGCAGATAATCTGAGAAGCTGGATTGTATGAAGCGAGCATGGCATCAGGATTGGAAAAAAGACTCATAAACAAGCTCCGATATGCTGATGATACAACCATACTTGCTGGAAGCAAAGAGAACTTGAAAAACTGATGAAGATCAAAGACTACATACAGCCTTCAATATGAATGACACCTCAAAGTAAAGAAAACAAAATTCTCACAGCTGGACCAATTAATAACATTATGATTAACAGAAAAGATTGAAGTTGACTTCATTTTGCTTGGATCCTCAATCCATGCTCATGGAACCAATAGTCAAGACAGCAAACAAACGTACCACATTAGGTAAATCTGTTGCAAAAGACCTCTTTAAAGTGTTAAAGAGCAGGTATCTCTTTGAGGACTACAGTGTGTCTGACCCACGCCAGGTTATTTGCAGTTGCCTCATAAGCATACAAAAGTTGGATAATGAATAAGGAAGCCCATAGAAGAATTGATTCATTTGAATTATTGTGTTGGTGAAGATTATTAAAAGTATCAAGGACTTCCAGAAGAACAAACAAATCTGTCTTGGAAGAACTACAACCAGAATGCTACTTAGAAACCAGACAGAGAGACTTCAGCTCTCTGACAGCTATTCCACAGGAGAAAGATGAGGCTTTCTGCTCCCGTGAAGATTTATAGCCTCAGAAACCCTGTACAGGGTCGTTATGAGTCAGAATCGACTCCACGGCTCATCATCACCACTACCACCACCACCACCACTTTGGACATATTATCAGAAGGAAGCATTCCCTGGAGACGGACAGCATGCTTGGAAAAAGGTGGTTCAGCGAAAAAGAGGAAATCCCTCAACAAAATGGAATGACTCAGTGACAGTTAACAGTGGGCTAAAACGTAACAAGTGTGAAGATGATGCAAAGTTTGGTTCTATTGCTGTAAGTTGGAACTGACTCGACGACACCTAACAACAACAGTGCAGGAGATACTGACCATTCAGCTTCAGAGCATTACAGTAAAGCAAGTATGGCAATAAAGCACGTCACATGAATTTTTTGGCTTTTCAATACTTGTAAAATGTATGTTTACATTATACTGTAATCTATTAAATATATAATCGCATTATAAAATATCATTTTGAAATATTGTGAGGATTACCAAAATATGACACAAACACTAAATGAATTGATGCTGCTGCAAAAATGGCGTCAATAGATTTGCTTGACGCCGGGCTGCCACAGACCTTCAATCTGTAAAAGTACAGAGCTGGTGAAGCACAATAAAAGGATGTATGCCTGTATCTGGGACAGGGAAATACAAAACGAACCTTTCTCATTAAGCCAGAAGTAATAAGGTACCATATTTATAGGCAAATAAAGTACGAAGTAAACATCTTTTGCAAAACCATATAACCGCCTGTTGTGTCTGTTTGTTCCATGGGGTTGTGTGCTTCATGCATCTGCCTATGTACACTGTTTACAAGGACACATTATATGTAAAAAGACAGTACTCAAAGACTAAGCAGAGTACGTTAAAAGAACACAAGAGCTTGAAGAGAAAATTGAGGACAATCTGAACACCCAAATTTATTTTTTAAATTATAATAATGAATTATAGTCTTTGAATTACATAGGAAACAAAAGAAAAAAAAACAAACAAACGTGAAAGTCTTTACTGATACTCAATAAAAAGAGAGATGTTCTTATTATACAAGAACGCCCAGCTACTACATGCAGAAGGAATAATACATTAAGAAAAATCCCTATTTCGCAACTATCATTGATACATCAATAGCTGATATACATAAGATTTATCAGTAGATGCTAAAAACCACTGGGTAAAAATATATTCACGTGGTCTCAAAGTCTCAACCGATAGAATACACCTTTACAATGAAGAGATCTGATGGACACCACCTTTACCAGACGATCAATTAATAAAATAATACTGTGTGACTACTGATATCATGAAATGGGAAGGAACAATTTCATCAAATAGTATTTCTGCCTAAATACTTAACATGAATCTTATCATGAGAAAACAGTTGAACAAATTCAGATTATAAGATATTCCTCAAGACAACTGGTGACCTGGATTTTTTTAAAATGTCAATCACAAAGGAAACAAAAGGACAAGAAAACTGTTTTATATTAAAAAACTGTTTTATACTAAAAACTAAGTAGACATGAAAGTCAAACACTATGTATGATATTTGATTGGCTCCTGAATATAAAAACAATCAGGTGTAAAGGACAATCCAGGGACAAGTAGGGACATATGAATACTCCATTGTATCAATATTAAATTTCTTGAGTATGATCATGTTATTGTGGCTACGTAGGATAAGGTCTGTGTTCTTAGGATAGACATGCTAAAGTAATTAAAGGCAAAATGTCATGATGTCTACAGACTACTTTCTAATAATGTGCCCAAAAATGTACACACATGTCAATGTGTGCACAGAGAGTGAGAGAAAATATTGCAAAATATTAACAAACATTTCATAATATATGTTTTTGTCTCTCTCTGCAAAGTCAGGTTGAACTGCAAGATCGGCAGTTCAAGCTCACCAATAGCTCCTTGGACAGGCTATATAGGGTCCTATGAGTCAGAACTGAATCAATGACATTTTAACAACAACAACAACAACAACTGTGTAAAGGTGCACTTTGACATTTGGGAAGTACAAGTCCTAGTAATTTCAAAGACAACACCCTGAGTCCCAATGTTGTTGTTGTTAAGTGCCGTCGAGTCGGTTCCGACCCATAGGGACCCTGCATAGGGTTTCCAAGGAGCAGCTGGTAAGCTTGAACCGCTGACCTGGTAGTTTAAACTGACTTTGCAGTTCAGCACATTAACCCACAGTGCCACACCAGCACTCCTAAATGCCAATGTTCCGACCCATAGTGACCCTGTGTAGGGTTTCTGAGGAACACTTTGTGAGCTTGAACTGCCAAGCTTGGGTTTCAAATCAACTTTGCAGTCCAGCACATGAACCCACAGCATAATAGTTCCTTGCAAATAATTGTGAGAACAAAAAGGGCCCCAACCTATACCACTGATAACTGTGACTTAATCATCCAACTCATAAGAGTACTTCTGATAGCGTAGTGGTTACGAATCGGGATGCGAACCTTAAGGTCAGCGGTTTGAAACTACCAGCCGCTCCGCGGGAGAAAGATGAGGCTTTCTACTCCCTTAAAGATTTACACCCTTGGAAACCCTGTACAGGGTCGCTATGGGTCGGAACTGACTCGACAGCACTTAACAACAACAACAATTCCATTTTGTATATTCAACCAGTTTTGAACATTTGCTAAATGCCAGGTACAATTCTAGGTCTGGAGAAAAAAATAAGCATGTAAAAGGAATAAGGACATGGAAAAGATAACCAAGTAATTATATAATACCAACTATAGTAAAGAATCTAAATTTTTGTTTGTTTTAATTTTCTTAAGAAAAAATTTTTTATACTCAAACAATCATTACTACATCCACATCTAAAATGCATATTTCTATTCACTGGGTTGAAGGAAGGCTATTTATTAGTATTTATTTTGTTGGCAGGTTTTCTTTTATTATAAAATTGAAATGTGAATTGCTTGCTGACATTACAGGTACGTTCTAATTAACAACAGAAAAACAATAGGGTAATGTATAGTAGAAAGTCTGGTGGCTTTAAAAAAACAAAACTAACCTGTGAATTATTAATGACATGATTAGCCTCCAGTTGGATAGTAAAGGTAACACCGAGTTCTGATGAAAAGGATTTCATTGGTGATAAGGTTCCAGATGTCAAAACAATTGTCCGAACTTTGTCATTAATATCTGAAAAAGCCTAAAAGGAAACAATTTTCGATATATAAAAAATCATGTTTAGAGTTCAACACATTTACTGAATTATTAGAATTGAGTAAGTTATGGTGCTATAGAATAAGCACTGGACTGCTAACTGCAAGGTTGGTGGTTCAAACCCACCAATTGCTCCTTGGAAATCTTATATAGGGTTGCTATACTTAACAAGAAAAACAACAAGAAAAACTTTCAGTTACAACACAATAAACTTACCACAGCTGGGTTTAAGCACCAAAAATTTAGCACATGAACTGCAGTTTTCTGTCGAGAACGTTTCTTATTTTTTGGTAGAGCAAGTAAACCATTCCTACCAGAATGATCTGTCTGATTTGTCCAAGAATAAGTCTGTTGAATAGCAACTTTATAATCATCTGCAAATCTAGATGAAAAAACAAACAAACAATTAATGGTGAAACTTTATAACATATAATATCTCACCTACATAGAATAAAAATTGACTAATATTCAATTAAGAGTACTGTTATCTTTCCACTTAAAAACAGCACTCTCTATCACCAATCTCTGCCACTAATTAAATTCTGTAATTCTGAAATTAAGCATTAAATAATAAAATTAGCTCACTCTAAGACAGAAAACTAGAAATCATCTAATCTAATCATTCACCCTTTACCACTCACTTCCCCCAATTTCCAAGTAGAATTAACAACTCCAATCCCCAAAATCCCAGTCAAGAGTTCTTTGCACTATACAGCATGTGATTAGTCACAAAATAGGAACAGTATTACTAGTAAAGAAACTATAAGGTGAGTTGTTTATTAATTTCATGAGAAATCGGAAAGACAATTTTTTTTTTTTACTGAAAGTAAGTTTTAAGAGTCAATTATAGAATTTTAAAATACTTTAGAAGTATGGGTCTCACTTTTCTTCTATTTTAAATGAAGAAACGTTAATGAACCAGATGATCTCTGTGATCCTGTCTAGTTCATAAAAATCTTAATATAGGACATAACACATCTAGGCTTAAAGTGACTAAAAAGTACCATTCTGTATCTTATCATCACGGCAATGTTTCATTGCTAATTTTATCTCTTACGAATTCACATCTTAGCAGTTGGGTCAGGTACTCAACAATCATTTTACAAAAATACTGGAGCCAGGTAGCACTAGAATTTAACAAGGGGTCTAGTTGCCTTCAGTTCGTTTCAACTCTTGGCGTCCACGTGCACTGCAGAGCAGCTTCAAGGTTCCTCTAGGTCGGTTCAAACCATAAACCTTTTGGTTAGGTAACCATTTGCACCATGCAGGAATTCTTAACAATGGGTTGTTGTTGTGACTCATAGTGACCCTGTATAGGTTTCCAAAGAGCAGATGGAGGGTATGAACTGCCAGTCTTGATGTTAGCAGTCCAGTGCTGATACTACAGCACTACACGAGGAGTCTTAAACAAGGGGAAAGGCAGGGGAAATTGCTCATCATTTTCCATCATACTAGGTGCTGCAGGTTAATGTGCTAGATGGCAAAGTCAGTTTGAATTACTAGGTCAGCGGTTCAAGCTCACCAGCCGCTCCTCAGAAACCCTATACAGTGTCACTATGGATCAGAATCGACTCCATGGCACTTAACAACAATGACAGGAAAGAGACTGCCTGACACTGCAAGAAACAAAACTATACTATATTTAAGAGAAAATTCATCCCTGTCAGACTGAAACTCAAAGGGAACACAGGAGCAGGCATGGGAGCTTGCTGGTGACCACACTGGTCTACTGGTGAGTGGAAGAGGTGGAAAGGCAGCAATGAAGAAATGAGCTGAGTTCAATCATGTTCCATAGACTCCCATAGACTCCCACTGACCTCGAGATGACCAAAGTGTGGTGAGACCTGGGGACACCTGAGCCCATGGACCAGGACATAGTCACAGAGGGCTAGAGCTGAAAGTGAAGCATCCAGCTGATATGAAGTGAAAGGAGATGCACAAGAACACCCAAACTTGCAGACAGTACCTGTTTGACCTAGCCTCGATGGCTCAATAATCAAAACTTGACTAGAGGAGGATAAAAATAAATAAATTTTGATAAAGGAAATGAGGGTAAATTGCTACAATTTGACAAATTTGACCTATAGTCATGGATGTAGTAGTTTAAAATACCAACAGAGAGGGACGGAGTCTTCACATGAAGTATCTATGCTATCTCCTCTGATAGGGATGGGTAACTTAGACATTGGCTACCTAAAATGAGGGGGAGATAAAGGCATAAAGTGACTGGCTTACAAGGTTTCAAGAGGGAGTTTAGTTTAAGAGTGTGGGGCGGGAGGGGAGAAGAGTCCGCACTGAATAGTTTTCATCTTGTCTAGATGGGTCTGGTGAAAGGAGATGGGGATAAGATTCTTATGATTCAATAGTGTGTAATAGTTATCATGACTAACTGCGACAGTCACAATTGTAAAGGTACAAGTTTTGTAACTAAAACGGGGGAGGAGTTCATCTTACAGTCCAGAAACAGAGGACCCTAGGACCATCAAGGGAGAAGAGCAGGAGTGGAATGTGGGACCCTACCCAGAGAAGCAGCAACACCAGAGATGGAGGCAGAGATGGGGGACATGGAGAGAGACAACAGCTGAGGACTCTAGATTCATGGAAAAAGAGGAACTGAGAGCTGGTGGCCAGGAGGCAGGCTTGCACAATGTGCCCTTTGGTGGTTTAAATTATTATATATGCCTGAGTGTTTTTTAAAAAAGAGCTAAAATGAATAGAAATACTGTTAACTGATGGTACATGGAGGAGACTATAATCATTGTAATGAAACAAAGTATATGATTTGCTGAATGTAAAACTGATGATCTGCCCTGTAAACTTTCACTCAATTCACAGTAAAAACTTGAAAAAAAAACATAGCCTTTAGTGCTTACATTTAGAAGAAGAGGACCATTAATTTAATGCTGAATTACTTCACTGTATTAATTTACTGATTTTGATACTCATTTTCATTAAAAAGACTAATTTCAATTGATTTCAGTTTGTGCCAAGAGCAAACACATTATAGTACCTATATCACTTGCTTAGAATTCTCCTATTTGCTCAGCTGTTAGTAGGCAATAAACATGCTAACACCCAATAAAATATATTCAGAAGAAAAATGCAAGTTAGATATTTTCACATACCTGCTATTTTGCCTAAAAAGATAGTCAAGCACCATAAAAAGTCCTTTGAGCACTATTTGAGTGGAACCACTAATAACAGGGATTTGTCTTGCTTCCTCCTTACCATGAATTGGTGAGGCTTTTTCTTCTTTTTGAAGGATAGCAGAAAAATGTCCCTATAAAAAATTACCTTATTAATTACAATAGGTGAGGGTGGGAGGGGACTTCTCAAAACTTATAAAACTATGTGAAATATTCATTGAAATTTTAGGGATTACCATTAATAGACAAATACCATCAATGTATTTTGGGTTACCATATACTCCAAATTGTTCTCAGAGTTAAAGAAACTTTAATAAGTTAGACATTGAGGAGGTTCATTACTTCTCGTGCAACTAGGGCAATATTTAGTGCCCTTCAAAAGTAATGAGCAAGTAAAATTGTACCAAATGATTTCTCTAAGGGGCTTAAAAGCAATGATGTGTCATCGTAAATGCCAAATTCTTTCCTAAAATTAATCCTAAAATGGAGAATTATGTGACTATTTTTTGTTGTTAAATGCCATTGAGTTGGTTCTGATTCATAGTGACCCTAACATAGTTTTTTTCGAGGAGCAGCTGGTGAGTTTGAACCACTGACCTTGTGATTCAAACCGACCTTGTAGTCTAATGCTTATCCTACAACACCACACCTGGGCTACAATTGTGTTGTTGTTGTTGTTAAGTGCCATTGAGTCAGTTCCAACTCATAGTGACCCTGTATAGGATTTCAGAGTGGCTGGTGAGTTTCAACCGCCGACCTCATGGTTCACGCCAACTTGGCAGTGCAGTGCATTAACTCAAAGTGCCACAGCAGGACTAAAACTGTTGTATATACCTCACATTTTTCATATACACCTACTCTGTTGTGGCTCTGTGGAAGTGCACTGGACTGGGAACCACAAGGTTAGCAGTTCAAACCCACCAGCTGCTCCTCGGAAACCCTATAAGGGTCACTGTGAGTCAGAACCGATTCAACGGCACTTAACAACATTTCAGTAGTGTGGTGCTGTAGGATCAGCAAGGTCAGCAGTTCTAACCCACCACCTTGGAAACCCTGTACAGGGTTGCTATACGGTGGAACTGGCTTGACTGCACACCATGATCTTCACTTAACAGTGAGCTAATTATCTGACATTTCATATTTATGATAGTAAAATCTACTATTTTAGGTAACAATTTTTTGTATCAGTGACATTCATCTGGCAGTAATGAACACCGCCTGAGGTGAGAGTGATACTGGCTGGGGTAAGTTTAGGTGTCATCTTGGCTGGGCCAATCATGGTTCTCAGTGGATTTCTGGCAGATATGTAGCAGTGTGCTCATCCTCCAACTCCTCATAATGCCAACTTTTGAAATAATCACCTGGTCTTTGTTCCTCACTTCATAAAGAGTGACTGTAATAGGCTTTAGAAGGGTTGGTTCATAACTGCAGGTTGTACATAATGTGACTATATGATCAGCAAAATGAAAAGAATGGCAAAACGAAACACTACATGCTAAATAAAAAATGCATGTTTACTAGCTCATTAGTTTTAACATGGCTCACAAGTTTAAATATGGATGGGATGTGGACATTATTCAAGACCCAAAAAAATAAACCAAAAGTATGCTTCCCCACATTGTAAAGGAGAAAATGAAATAATGGAGCAATAAAAGATTGTTGACAATTCTTATATTTGACAGTAAAATACATGTTCAATGATACAGTGGGTAAATAGTTCAAATAAATGAGTCAGCTATATTGTGAAACAGTTTAAATCTATAAAATGAAAAAGCAGTTTCCACTGTACAAAACACTAAAGAATATAAATAAAAGAGTTCTCAAAAAGAACAACCAAGGAGACAACATGAATTTGGAAAAATGAAATAGAAGCCTCAAATTGTTTAAAAATAAAACCAAACAACAAAACTCAATCCCCTCAGCACCAACTTTCATCTAAGTTACTATTTCTCTCCAACAGGGGCGGAACATTGACAATGTACTCTACAAACCTATATAAACTCTGAACTACGGAAAGTGAGGCATTGTGCTGAAAACAGAAGGCCTAAACTAAATTCTGGAGTCCTGGTGTGGCGCTGTCGGATAAGCACTGGATTGAAGGGTCAGCGGTTCAATTCCACCAGCCGCTTCTTGGAAACCCTATACAGGGTTGCAATGCGTTGAAAGCGACTGGATGGCACTTAACAACAACAACAAACAATTCTACATACTTGCACCTGAGACTACTCCCAGCTTGTTTCCAGAGAGGTTTCCTGAACACTGGCAGCCAGGTTGGGGGTAAACAGAAAACTAAGCATAGAAAGAAAAAAAACAGATAATTATTATTGCACAGGAAACAATAGTTATATAAAAATATAATCAAGTAAATTACAAGATTTTACTATCACAAGTTTTGACAATACATACACATGATAGTACACACACTGAATGTTGACATAACTATGCTGAAAGAACAGAAAACGGAGAAAGGAGAAAGCAAAGGAATGCGGGAGAGACAACAAAGGAGTAGGGAAGGAAGAAAATGATGTCAGTATGCCAAACCAGCCACTGCTATAGTCTAGTCTGACTCAAAGTGATGCTATGGAACAGAGTAGAAAAGTTCCCTAGGATTTCCAAGACTGTTCACCTTTATGGGAACACACAGCCTCATCTTCCCAAGAAATGGGTGGTGCCATTTGAACCCCTGACCTTGCAGTATGCAGTCCAGTGCTTATCCTACAACACCACCATTTAGGAAAACAGGAGTAAACAGCAGAAGAAACCACTTTCAATAAACATTTCTTCAAAGAAGATACATAAATGGACAATTTGTTGTTGTCAAGTGCCATCAAGTCGTTTCCAACTCAAAGCGACCCTGTATAGGGTTTTCAAGGAGCAGAGTATGGGTTTGAACTGTTGACCTTCAATATTATCAGTCACTGTTGTTATGTGCCATCGAGTCAATTCCAACTCATTGCAACACTGTACAGGGTTTCCAAGAGTGACTGGTGGGTTTAAACTGCCAACTTTGAGGTTAGCAATTCAGTGCTTATCGTACAACACCACACTAGGGCTCCATTAGTAGCTGTTGTTAACTGCTATCGAGCAGATTACGAGTCATAGCAATCCTCTATAGGATTTCTGAGGAGCCTACTGGTGGGCTGGAACCATTGACCTTTTGGTAAGCAGTCCAGTACTTATCCTACAGCGTCACACCAGGACTCCCCATTAGTCATTTAGGAAAATTCCAATCAAAACCATAATGAGATACCAATTAACACCTATTATTGTTGTTGTTATTTGTACCATGGGATTGGTTCAACTCATAGCAAAACTATGAGTTGGTTCAACTCATAAAGTTTCCACGGAGTGGCTGGTAGGTTTGAACCACTAACCTAGTGGTTACCAGACCAGTGCTTATCCTACAGTGCCACATCAGGACTCCTAACACCTACTTGTTGTTGTTAAGTGCTGCTGAGTTGGTTCCAACCCATAGTTGCCCTGTATAGAGTTCCCAAGGAACAACTGATGAGCTTGAACCATCAACCTTGTGGTTCAAACCAACTTTGCAGTCTAGCCCATTAACCCACAGCAGCACACCAGAAGTCCTAAAACCTGCTCTTGTTGTTGTTGTTAAGTGCCGTCGAGTTGGTTCCGACCCATAGTGACCCTGTACAGGGTTTCCGAGGCTGTAAATCTTTACAGGAGCAGAAAGCCTCATCTTTCTCCCATGGAGCAGCTGGTAGTTTCGAACTGCTGACCTTAAGGCTCGCAGCCCAATTCATAACCACTATGCTACCAGAGCTCCTTTAACACCTACTAGGATGACTATAATTAAAAATCTGACAATAACAAGTATTGCTGGAGATGTAGAGAAACCATACTTTGCTACTATGATTGTAAAATGATTCCGTTCCTTTGAAAAAGTCTGACAGTCCCATGGAAATTTAAAAGTTAATGACCCAACAATTCTACTCCTAAATGAATACCTTGAGAACAGAAAACATATATCCACACAAAACTCTGCAGCATATTCATAATAGCCAAAATATACAAACAATCTAAATTTTCATTAACCGATGAACTGATCAATGAAATGCTGCAGCCATACAATAAATTCTTTTTGGCAATGTAAAGGAATGATGTACTGACACATACTGTGACCTGAATCAACCATGAAAACAATATACTAAAGGAAAAAGCACATAACCACCACCACCAGTGATCCTATAGGACGGAGCAGATACTGCTCTGTCAGATGTCCAAAGCTGTATGCTCCTACATAGGGTCACCAGGAGCCGGAACTGACTTGACAACACTGGAGTCCTAAGTGGTAAATGTATTCAGACTTCCATTAATATTTACGAATCGGGCTGTGAACCACAAGGTCAGCAGTTCAAAACTACCAGCTGCTCCACGGGAGGATGATGCTTTCTGCTTGTAAAGATTTACAGCCTCGGAAACCCTGTTAAGGGTCACTATGGGTTGAAACCGACTCGACGGCACTTAACAAAACAAAACAAAAATTGTTATTAAATTTCATAAAAATGAAGTCATACAATCTGTATGCTTCTTTCACTCAACACTAAATCTGTAAGGTTTGTCTAGATTGATGTGGTGGCAGTAACTCTTTCTTTTTGATTGCTGTGTAGTATTCTACTTTATACATCATGTTGTTGTTAAGTTCTGTTGAGTCAGTTCCGACCCACAGTGACCCTGTATAGATTTCTGAGGAGCAACTGGTGAGCCTGAACCACTAACCTTGCAATTCAAAGTGACTTTGCAGTCCAGCACACTAATCCACAGTGCCACACCAGGACTGGTTTACTACAATTTACTTAGCCATTTGACAGCTGGTGTGACCGACTTTTAAAATGTAAAAGAGATGTACAAAAAAGATTACAAAAATAAGTCACTATTTCAAAACATAATGCCACATGGCATTAAAAAATGCAGTGTAAAAATTATAACTACCAGTTGAATGAATTATTAATATTGACATGGCTAGAATGCTAGTGGTGATTTTGTTATGAAAAATTCTTACTTTTTGATTACAAAAACCTTTTAGAAAATATGGTGAAAGTTATGCAACCCCTATTCAGAAAAATGTCCAATAGTCCATACTCACACAATTATATACATAACAGCATAAGCTTCTTAGTACCCCAAAGCCCACTCATGATCTCTATCCATGAACCCCAGGTCTATAGTTCTCTCAAGTAAACAAAATAAAAATTTAGCTCTTTTTATTTTCTAAAATTCAAACATATTATTTTTATAAATGACAAAAACAATTCAAAACCCAGAACTATTGCTATTTTTTTACTCTGAAAAATATAACTAATTTCAAACTAAATACTGCTACTGAGTTTTTCAACCATAATTTACCATCATTTAAAGATTACCAAAATTAGAGAAAATAAAACTCAAAGGCAATTAAAGTACCAGACTTACTAAATGACTACTTGATAAATCTATTAAATTACTTTTAATCCACTATACGAATTTCACCAGTGAAAAAAAGAAGTTACCTGCAAAATGGGAAAAGTAGCAGAAGTGATGCCCATTTTGTGTAAATGAATGATCATTTCATTTCCACTCCATATTTTACAGGATGATTCATAATCCCTTTCTACAAGATGTTTAGAGTTTGCGTCTAACCAACTACAATAAATGAAACAATAATTCTATCAATAATTGTTATTATTATCATGCAATGATATGTATTTCTTGACGTTCTTAAGGACACCAATGTTTGATTAATTAGGAAACCTTTTAAAAAACATGTACCTCTCATAATGCAAAATAAATATTTAAAAGGCTCTAAAAAGTAAGCTGTTATTCAGAGGAGAGAAACACATATGTGATTTCCCAATTGTGCTTCGTGGCTTCAAAACTGCTGCTATTGTTGTTTGCCCGTCGAGTTGGTTCTGACTCATAGCGACCCTGTAAAGGATTTCTGGGGAATGGCTGGTGGGTTTGAACCACCACCTTGTGGTTAGCAGTCCAGTACTTATCCTACAGTGCCACACCAGGACTCCTAACATCTCCAAAATAATAACCACTAACTAAGACTTGGGTTGTTGTTGCTCTTAGTAAAAGCAGCAAAATTGGCTTCTTTGGAAGCTGAAAGAAAGTCAGTATGGTTGCAAGCACAATGGGTAAAAAAGAATAAGGGTATGGAAAATGTTTGATAAACAGGAACCAGATCAGGTTAAGCCATGAGAAGGAATTTGGATTCTAGTGTAAAGTACAATAGAACATTTTTAAAAGAATGGGAGACAGTCTTTTAAAAAAATTTTTAAATAAGAGAGAAACTATTTTAAAACATTAAATGATGATTCCAGATTCAATACCAGAATGAATTATAGGAGAAAGGCAAGAGTGAAAGAGGGAGACTGTTAGGAGGGTATTATAGGTTCTGGGTGAGATATGATTCCGCATGATAGATAAGAAAGATCAGCTGAAACACAGAATTCTGGCAAGATGGAGGACTCCGCAGAGGCACTACATGGACCCTCTAAAACAAAGATATGAGAGATCAAAAGAAACAGACACAGATGAAAATCCTGGAGCCCTGAATGTCAGAAGAAAGGTTAGAGAAATGGATGGAGTGCTTGCTGGAAGGAGAAACTGAGCAGGGATGGCAAGAGAGGGAGACTAACCGGTGAATGGCTGAGCAAAGCTGGTTCATACAGGTGACAGGATGAGGTGCGATTTCTTCTTTTTCCCCATACTCCCTGGTCACCAAAGGTGTGGCCAGCTCCCACCTTCATCAACGCCCAGCACAGGCCCTGTTTTTCGAGTTTGGAGACTCATTGTTGTGAGCCACACCAGTGTGAGGTAGGTGCCGGTTGTGACGCTTTAGTCCCTGGATTCAGGTGGGCTCAGCTCCAGGCCTACAGAACCCACAGAGCTACCAAACCAGCCTGAGTCTAGCAGAAACCTTTACAACCAGCCACCTGACCCCAGCTGTGCTGGGGTCCCAAAAGACACTGAAACCAGATCCATCAAAGACTTCCACTAACTACCTCCAGATTGGGTGCTCTGAACCAAGATAACACTAAGGCCTACAGGAACTCCATCTAGGACCAAGAACCCCATTGGTCACATTCCTCCTGCACATATTTATTATATGAGCTCCTTGGCTGACTGTTTTCTCCTCTCTGGGGCCAACAGTTGCACTGGTTTTTTGGTTTGTGTCTTTTCCGTTTGTTGTTTTATTGCTTTTGTTTGTTTAGTCTTTCTTCTTTCTTTTGCTGTTACTTCAAACTTTATGTTTCCGATCTCTGTTTTGTTTTTTGTTTTTCATTTTGATCTTTCTTTACTACGTTCTGTTATCTCTTCAATTTTCTTCTCCCTAGTTTTTCTAAGTGGCTTTTTTTTTTTTCTTTATTTCCTCTCTTATTTTTCTCTTCTATAGTTCCATTCTCCTGTCCCTCTTTTCTCCTTTTAGTTATTATATTCCTTTTTTTTTTTTTTTGCTTTTGCCTGTTTTTCTTTTTCTTTTTCTCCTTCTTTGTCACTGCCTCTTTTCATTTTTAGTTGCATGTTTATTTTGTTTTCTTGTGTATGTGGTGGGGAGAAGTTCTTCTCTTTCCCACTCCACAGAACACAGCAGCCATGCCCATAGTGCCCAGCCACAAGTGCACCCTCAACAGCTCTACCCACTGGACAAGAGCCAATACCAGCTCCTGCAACACAACAATGAAGAGCTTAAGAACGCATCAACATACAATCATCAATTAAATACAAATATAACACCACCACAATATTCCAGAGACAACACACAATGTTAACTCCCACAAAGAAACAAGCGAGAGTAGCTCAAACAAATGACCAGATGAAGATCTAGAAAACGTTTCTCAGGAAGAAAAGGTGATGGAACTAAGTGAAAAAGAATTCAGAAGAATGATACTTAAGTACCTTCAAAGGACTGACAGAGAGATCAAGGAAAGAAAGGAGAACAGAGGAAAAACTTTAGAAGAATTCAGGAACACTACAAGAACAGACAAAATAAATAAAAATTTTGTAACAGTACAAAGCCTGCCATTAGAAATCCAGGGAATTACTACTAAGATTTCAGAAACGGAAAATGCATTGAAAGGGCAAAGGAATAGATTTAGAGCAATGGAAGCCCAAATTAGTAAATCTATTGAAGAGAAATCTCTCAATACTAGCATGCTAGAAAAACAATCAGAAAAAATAATGGGAAAATCTGAAGAAAGTTATGTGGGACACTATGAAGACGAACAACTTATGGGTGATCAGAATTCCAGAAAAGAGAATAATAAAAAGTACAGAGAAAATTATCAAAGATTTCTTGGAAGAAACTTTCCTAACATCATGAAAAAGAAGAACATAAACACACAAAAAGTTGAACAAACCCCAAACAGGATAGATCCCAAAAGAAAATCAAACTTTCCAAAACCAACGCAAGCAGAGAATTCTTACACAGGAAGAACACAGCTGGTAAAAAACAAAAAGTTACCTGTAAAGGAGAACCAATAAGACTAAAGCTCTGATTTCTCAGCAGAAACCATGCAGGCAAGAAGGCAATGGAATGACATTTACAATACTCTGAGAGAAAAGAAATGCCAACCAAGAATCATATACCCAACAAAACTGTCCCTCAAATATGATGACAAAATTAGAACATTTCCAAACAAACCGAAATTAAAGAAATTTGTAACAATCAGGCAAACTTTTAAAAAAATTCTAAAGGTTGTTCTCTGGGCTGAGAACCAACAACAGCAGACGACCTGAGATTACCATACATGACAACAATACCCAGAACTCAATCCAGATACAGAAGTATTTAAAGTAAAACTTGTAAGACTAAAAATAGGGAAGCACAGATATCAAATTATTATGAAATTAACTGCAAAGCAAAAAGAGGGATTAGTGGAGCTACAGAACATCCAATGGTACTGAAGTGAAGTAGATTTCAAGATAAAACAAATATTTAAATGAGGAACAAAATTGATAAATTGCAATAACCTCAAAGAAAATTAGGACACCTTCACATCAAAATTAAAAAGGGAGAAATCAGAAAGATTTCATAAAGATTAACACAATAGAAATGAAAAGAAAACCCACAAGCAAAATGAATTCAGTACAGAATATTATGTGGAACAAAGACACCACCAACACCACACAAAAAAACACACATCAAACTGACATCAATCGAGTCATACCTATCGATAATTTATACCAAATGTAAATGGATTAAATACACCTAGTCAAGAGACAGAGAATAGCAGAATGGAAAACTAAACAGATTATTCACTATGCAGTCTACAAGAGACACATCAAAAAGATGGAGACCATTTAAATGCCCAACAGAATGGTTAAACAAACTTTGGTATGTACACACAATGGAAAAATAATGATGAATCTGTAAAACACCTCACAACATGGATGAACCCCAGAGGACATTATTCTGAGTGAAACTTGTCAATCACGAAACGACAAATATTGTATGAGACCACTGTTATAAAAAGTTAAGAAAAGGTTTTCTGGATAAAAGAAACATTCTATGATGGTTATTGGAGGGATGGTGGTGGTGGCTGTGTGCCATGGAGTCGGTTCCGACTCATAGTGACCCTGCACAGGGTTTCCAAGGCTGTAAATCTTTATGGGAGCAGAAAGCCTCATCTTTCTCCCATGGAACAGCTGGTAGTTTCGAACTGCTGACCTTGTGGTTCGCAGCCCTATTCGTAACCGCTACGCTACCAGAGCACCTTTATTGGAGGGAAGTGGGGAGTAATATTTAACGGCTAGAGACTAGATACATGTTAACACCGGAAATGGAGCAGGCAATACACAACAAGAGGGATGTTGGCAGAGGAAAAATACAGGTAGTGACAGACACAGGAAGAAACACAAGCATTAAAGTGAATGGAGATAAATACTGTTAACTGATAGTAAATGGAGGAGATTGCAACCATTGCCAGTGAATCAAAGAATATGATTTATTGAATGTAAAACTTATGATCTGCTCTGTAGTCCTTCATTCAATTAACATAGAGCTTTTTAAAAAAAAAAGAAAAAGGAAGGCTGAAAGATGAATGGATTGGGGCTATATTGTGTGAATGACACTTGTAAGATTACTTATGAACTTGATAAAGCAGTTATCAAAGATAACACGGTATTTTACTGGAACAACTGTTTGGTACTATTTGCTTAGATGGGAAAGATTGATAAAGTGGAGGGTCAGCAAAAAAAAAAAAAAAGACCCTCACAAGATAGACTGATCCAGTAGGAGCAACAATGACTCAAAACAAAACAATTGTAAGGCTGGCATAGGACCAGGCAGTGTTTCGGTCTGTTGTGCATAAGGTCATTTGTGAGTAGGAACTGATTGGGTGGCACCAAACAACAACAGTAGATAGGGAATGGGAAAGAACTTTGTTTTAGGTGTAAAGTTGAAATATGTCTATTTGAGATTGAGACACAGATATAAACACCAAGTTGGAGCTAAGAGAATGTATTACAGAGAAAGGATGGGGTTAGAGGCAGAGATTATAAAGTGGACTGTATATGAGGTTATGTAATTTAGGCAAAGTACAGAGCTAGAAAAGAAATGAGAGCCTAAAACCAAGTCTTGACATACACCAAAACTTAGACATTAAACAGAAAAATAAGAGTTATCAAGAGAAATTGAGAAAGAATGGCCTTTGAAGGAAGAGTAAAAACAAGATGATGCCTTCACAGCCCAGACAAAAATCTTTTCAAGGAGGTAGTAATCAACAACGTTTATAACACTTCTGAGGTTGAGTGTGGCAAGAACAGAAAAAATACCCTTTAGATATGAACATACAGAGATTATTGGTGACCTTGATAAGAAAAATTTCATCAGAATTATACAAACAATTAACATTACTAGGCTTATGAGGAAAGATGCAAAGTGAGAAAATTAACTCAGCAACTATAGACAACTCTTGGAAAAACAACCCCATACAGACAGATACATAATAGGTTGAAAAAAATAAGGAAAAATATTTGCAATTCTTATCACAGGCAGAGTTAATTTCTCTAATACATAAAAACCAAACCCCACTGTCATCCAGTTGATACTGACCCCTAGTGACCTTACAGGAGAGCGGGGAGGGCTGCCTACAGTGTCCGAAGCTGTAAATCTTTATAGCAGTAAACTGTCACATCTTTCTCTTGTAGAGCAGCTGGTGGGTTCAAACCACCTACCTGCAGTTGGCAGCGTAGTGTTTAAGCACTGGGCCATTAAGGACTCCTGAATACATGAAAAAGCTTCTAAAAATCAATTAAAGAAGAAAATCCATAACCACAAGAAAAACAAAGGGCAGAGATCTCAAAAGTTGGCAGAAAAGGAAATACAAATGATTCTTAAAGATGCTTGATCTGACTCATCTTAAGAGACATGTACATGTTCCACTTTTCACCCAGCAAGCTAGAAGAGCAACTCTCATACACTATTTGTACAAATATAAATTAGTCCCCAACTTACCCACACGTAGTGTAAATGTTAACAATATTTGTCAAAATTACAAATAACCTTCCCTTTGATCCAACAATTCTAATTCTAAGAATTTTCCTAAATATGGATACATATGAAACAATTTATGTTTAATGTTGGGCATTACAGCTGTAATAGCAAAAGATTGGAAACAACCTCAATATATTAAACAGAGGCCGGCTGAGTAAATTATTATATATCCATACTGCAAGGTCAGTGGTGCAAATCCACCAGCCACACATTGTAAACTCTTTACAAGGTCGCTATGAGTCAGAACCAACTTGGCACTTAACAACAACAACAAAACCAATACAATGGAATTCTAGGCAACTATTTTTCAAACTGTTAAAAGTTTTTTTTAGGTTTTGCCATGGGAAGATCTCCAAGACGGACTGTTAAGTGAAAAAAAGGCAAGGTAAAGAAAAAAATATGTACGAACATATCTTGTCTGGTTATAAAGAAGGGATAAAATATCTATATGGCTTATATATGAATAAATATACAATAAATGGTAAATCTGATCATGGAGACAGGAGCTAAGCAGACAGGAATGGGAAGATTTTTACTGCATAAATTTGTATCCAGTTTATGTTCAAACCATGTGACATTA